CCATCACAATTGTGCTGGTGCATATGTAATCTTTTATGTTCATTAGTATTTGCTTGATGTACTTGGGCTGACTGATATATGGTACATATATATTTATAATTATTATCTGTTCTCATTGGATTGTTCCCTTGACTAATATAAATTGCATTCCTTGCCTTTTCTGATGAATTTAATTTCAAGTACATTTTCTTGGAGAAAATCATACTCCACTTTCTTTCTGGGGTTCTGGTGCATGCAGTGTTCTTTTCTATTTTTTAATTTTTAGTATATGAATTTTTTTTTCAAACTGATGAGCCTCTTCTATCCAGAAAATCACTAGGCTTTGTTTTCAATCCAGCCTACAGATTTGTCTCTTTTTCTTATGAGTTGAACATTTATATTGAGTTATTACTGAAAAATGTTGATACATTCCAACATGACCTTATTTCTGTTGACATCTTTAATTTTCCCTTTTTCTTGAAGCAATATGCTACTTAATGTATTTATTCCATCAGAATTTGGAGAATTGTTGACTTCATTTTCTCTGACTAAATTATGCATGATTTTTTGAGTTTTGATTTAGTGTTTATGAACTTCTTATGATGTGTTTTAGTTATGAGATACCTTTATCCTATGTTCATTTTGAAAAGGTCATTGCAGTACATTTTAGTTTTGGTTGAAAGACTTTTACTTCTAGTGCTGGATAAAGTTCAATCCACCCTCTACTAGTCTTTAATATGTTTGTGCTGAGACCATAATTCATAGGTCTCAGTGCTGAGTGGTTTGAACCATCACCAGCACATGCATGACTGTCCCATCAAGTTACTATTAATTTTTTTACTAAAAAGACCAATAAAACTGATTACATCCATTTTCACTACCAGTCATGAAAGCTACCTTGTGTACATTGGTGGTTCAAGCTGGTGGGAATGTATTAAAGTTTTTGTAAAAAAAGCTTTATTTAATACAATTACAAGTGATCTTTGGCTTTTCTCTGACAACTTTTATGACCCTGTCCATTGGTTTGGGCTTCTCAGATTTTGATTATGATGTGCAATGGAGATCATTTTAAAATCATTACTTGTTTTTCTGTAAGCCTCATATAGTTTATATGTTTAGTTCATTTCTTACTTTTTTCTGTTGTGATTTCTTTAAACAGATACTTTATATTGCATGTGCTATCCTCTAATTTGTTTCTAACTCCATTTTTTCTTGTTAGTCTTAGCAACCTCTAATAAACACTTATTAATCTTGCTATACTATTTTTAACATATCTGTATGTATAACATCTTTTAGTTCCATGCTATCCTTGAAGTCTGATACTTTTAAGTTCATCATTGCTCATATTCAGTAGAATTCATTATCTCTAAAGGATTTCTGTTTAGCATCTTTTCATGAAGTCAAGTTTTTTGGTAAATTATTCAATCATGTTTGAAATAGCTTTGATCAGGCCTTTTAATTTTTGGTTTTTGCCAAAATACATTGGTCACTGTGTTTTTTAGTGCCACCATTTTGTGGGTTATATATATTATTTGAGCTTGCTGAGTTTCCATGTGTCCATTTTAATCATTTCATGCTGCTCACCCACTAATGTTTAACTTCCACCCTATCAGTGCCCATTGGGCTTTTTAAAAGAGAGTTGGGAGTCTTTGGAATCATTTTCTGTCCTATTTTTTCATGTTCCTGTTTTTTTTTTTTTTTTTTTTTTTTTTTTTGGTATGCGTATGTGCTGATGGTTGAAGTCAAATAGAGTGAAAATTTGTTGTTGGTATGAAGATCTCTTTAGTTAAGTTCTGTTTTCTAGTGATGTGATCTTAGCTTTATTTGTCAAGAGGCTTTTATTTGCTACTTTATTCTATTCAGTTGAATTGGGCTATATCCAGCTACTGTTATTGTAGAGATTCTTACAGGTTATACCATCTACAGATCTAACCATCCATCAATGATAAACATTAAAACCATTTATTATTATTAGCTCCAATTAGCATCCTTTTATTAGCACCAATTCTAAACTATGCTGTACTGTTATTGACAGTTAATGTGGGATGAGGAAGCAGGGAAGGACAGAGAAAGGGGAAATGAGGGGGAAAATAAGGAGAAAGGAGAAAAGAGAATGTTTATAGATAAGATACAAAGTCAGACACTGTTGGATGCACTTTATAGCTAGAATAAAGGGTTAGTGCTGGTGAGTTTAAAAGAATATTTTTGGATGCATGAGAGGACTGCAATGAAAGGAGGTTGAGGGAAGCTGTGGAGTTGTCAAACCCTACTAACACATTTGTGGTTAGATTTACTGGGATCCTGTAAGCACATTCCATTAAAGGTTATCCCAGATAACAGTGAATGCTGCCATTTAAGTTAAAACACTGGTCTAATCTTATTCTGCTTTGTACATTAACTGGCCATGTTGAAATCTATGGTTATATCTATTGATTGGGAAGTTATAAAATTTTTATGTATAAACACTTGAGTTATTGACAAATATGCCTTATGGAGGATTATGTGGGGTAAAAATAATCAACGAGTCATGTTCTAAAAGTAGTAGAGTCCAATCCCTAAGATGAAGGGGGTCAGGAGGGTTGCAATGGTTAGAGCTTCAGGACCAAGTACAGCATTAATTAGCTGAGTTTTATGGATAAACTTAGCATCTGGATGCATTAAAAATTAAGGTAAATATCTTGTTAAACTATATAGCATAGTTTGAATGGAAATCATGTTGTGCTTTGAGTACCTAGGTACTCTTTATTGCATGGGTTTACAGTAACAGTTAAAGATCAAATCTTTCTCATGAGAATATATAATTAGAATTGTGTATATGTAGTCAGGCATAGATATATTTAAATATTTTAGAGAAGTGCTGTTTTTAAATACTTACCACACAGGAGTTTAAATTTCGAAAGTGCAGTAACAACATCAGTTCAGCTGCTTGTTTTGAAGTGCTCTCTCTTTAATTCAATTTTTCTATTAGGTTAATTCCTCGAAGCAAATCCTGGTGGTTTGTTGCCATTTGCTTTTCAATTCATGAGTGTGAAAGCTCCCTGAGATATGCTCTCAACTTCTCTCCAAGTTGGTCTCTCAGATAAATATTCATTACATTCTTTCCTTCACTGGTAACTTCACATACCGTGTCCTTTTTTCTGAGTATTTCATCCATTGGAATAGAATAATTATAAAGAACATATTGATTGAGTGTCCTTTTACTTTTTTTCTTTGTGTGTCTTAAGGCAGAGCCAGAGAGAAGTAGATTATTATGTAATGTGTTTGTGCTGGCAAAATTTTAACTCCTTCTGTAACTGTTGCTCATTATGGCCCATTGTGGGTGCACACATTTTTCTGTTAATTTGAGCACACACAATAATTACAATGCTCGACCACAAAGTATAACAAAATATGAGAAAAGTATAAGAATATAAAATATAGTATAAGTATAAGAAAGTGTAGTGTAATGTAGTTTAAATGTAATTTGTGAATTAAATTGTGAATCTGTAGAACGTTTTCTTCAAAAACTTAGTTTTCTCGGACATACTGTACATAGATCGAGTGATACTTCAGAATATACATAATGACAAATATTTTTCCTTTAAATATGTGGAGTTTATTTGGGCTTAAAATTAGAAGGTTGATCTTTAGCATATCTATGTATTACAGATGGCAGGTAATAAGGAAATTGAATGAATCCCCTGATAACTGTGTGAATTATTTTGCGGGTCACAGGAGCATGAAATTTAGTCATGACCTGCTCACCTTTCTCCTCACAGTGCAACAATGAATGCTCAACAAGAATGTGTGGCTGTCTTTTACAAAGCTGAAGTCTACTCGGAATTCACTGATTATTTTTATGGGGGAAAAGTGATTCTCTGTAATCTGCATGAACTAATCTTCATTAATGCATTTGATATTCCCCAAACAGGAATTAAATCACAAGGAACATTTAATCTAAACAGCACTGTAAGTATAAGTTATGTATGTCTGTTGGGTCAGTTGCTTATTTTAAACTGACTCACTTCAAATGGACTTTTTGGTTTGTTTTATTTGTTGTTTTTTTTTTTTTTCACATTGTGTTAGAGGCTTATATACAGCTGTGGAAATAGAATTTCAAATATTTTCTGAAGTCCAAATTTTTGCAATACTATTGTGAGTTACTATTATAGTTTAAAAGCATAAATCAGATCACAAGAATATTTCTTGCTGTTAACATATATTTAAATTTGTGTTCTATTATCTCAGCTTAGATAACTGATATTCTTTCATCTATAAAATATATAGGTTCCCTATCACTTTTTCTAAGTTACTACAAATATTAAATAATTTCAGAAAATAGCATTCTATCTTCTATAATATATATAGTTTGCCTATCACTTTCTCTGTTTAGTAGGATTAAATGAGATATTATTTATGATGTTTATTAATTTCAGTATCATCTTCAAGAAATACACTACTTAGAATTTATTGTAGTACCTGAGGTGCAGGTGTTTAATAAAAATTATTAATATAAACTTGCTTTGGCCATAGGATCCTTTTTTTTTGTACCAGGGATCAAACTCATGACATCTGGCTTGCCAAGCACACGCTTATGCTGCTAAGCTAAATCTCCAGCCCAAGATCCTGTATTAATAGAATTCAAATATATGGTATATTTCATCAGCTATTTAATATTGTTGGCTCATCTTTCTAAACTAAATAACAAATCTGAGTGAAATTTGATCTTCAAACATTACATATACTGTATGTAGGCATATATTGCTTCTAAAGTAGCAAGCTATTTATTAAAATTTCAGAAATACAAATTGCTGAGAAATAATTTTATATTCCACATTTAATCAAGCAGACATAAATACGTCAAATTGTACCTATTTATGTAATTTTAATGTAATTTGCTTATTTGTAATTTGTAATTTTTCACATACGTTCAAGCACAATTTGAGATATATCTACATACCCTATAAATTGTAACTTATATTAACATAAGTAATTTATGCTATTTTAATTAAACAGTTCATAAAATCTTCATTGTATTCAGATTGTTCTAGGAATAATTTTTTCAGGGCAACCTAGATAATTTTATGTATATTACCATGTAACTGGAACCTAACAGATTTTTAATTAATAGATATGCAAAAAAATAAAGAAAACAAAATGAAAATTAGTGAACGAATAAATTCATGAAAATGTTCACATATTTTGCAGAAGAACTTATATTTTAGTGCATATGTTGAATATGAAGTGTCTATCTTTATATTAAATACTGCAGATATTTACTGCATACTTGATAAATGTAGACTGTCAAATCAAGTGTGGAAAAAAGAAAATACAATGCTAATCTTTGTATTCTTTGTTTCCTTAAAAAGGCATATGGTTGTTTCTTTTAAGAAATGCAAACTCAGATATAAACCTAATAATAGAAACATTTTAGAAATGAGAATCAACTTTTAAAAATGAAAATGATTTAAAATGGATGCATGATGCATATGCACTACAAATTTGAAGATCATGCATGAATATTTTTATGAGATATTACTATTATATAATCTGCATATTCACCATACAAAATAAGATATAAGACATATGTTTCTGATCCTGCTTTTAAGAGCTGCTCTTTGCCACTGGGCATTCAGAATGTAAAATACTCACACAGGGCATTTGTTTAAAATGTTTCCTACTGAGTCCACATTAGAACTCCTTTGGGATTTTAGCCTTATTTGGAGAAATACTTTCTTTGCATTATTGTTTTGATGTCCACTAAATATTAGAAAGTATATCTATGGTGTAATACTTTAAGATGGTTAAAGTTTGACCTAGGAGACAGAGCTACAATGTATGTGGTTTCTGCAGAGTTGTTCAAAGTTGTTACTATTGTTTTTGGATTTCCCTGAATATTACAAAATCAGGGGCCTAAATATATAGGTCATATAGTTTGGGAGCAAAACAAGCATAATGAGATATTATTTTCCAGTATAGTAAATAAAAAAATCAGGAATATGTCTCCAAGCAACAAACGGAATGTGTTTACAAACTTGGTAAAAAGAAATTGCCTCATCATTAAGTCTTATCATAAAAAGTAACTTTGTCAACCAAAAACCAAAATCAAGCAGGGCATCTTCATATAGAAAAAGGAAATTAAAATGATCTTCCAGGCAATTATAAAAGTGTCAGTTGAATGCAAGCTGGTAACAAGTTTTGTCATGCCTTAGATATACAAACAGATGCTTAACTGGAAGGTGACAATCAGACTCATTCTTCTTATGTGAAAAGGGGATTGATGTACTCAAAGTCCAAATTCATCTATGCTGTTCATAAAGTAACTGTCATCAGGTGTGAGCTGGACAGGTTCGTTGGTAAATTCAGGGTCAAAGTTTTCTATCCTGAATTCTGTACCAATACTTGTCTTAAAGGGAGGAGGCACTTGCTGTTTTCCCATCATGTTCCAGTCCAGATTGTTAAAGAATGGATGCTCTTTAATATCGATGAATCCTCTCTGAGGGTGACAGCCCAATCTTACCTCTGGCTCCTTCTTCAGAAGACCCTTGAGGATGCTTCTGGCTTCGACAGACAGGTGATGTGGAATGTTGACTTCTCTTTCTAACATAGATTGCAAGACCTTGTATGTGTTTAGATCAGAGTTCTTGGGACTGTCTGCAAAAGGATACGGAGGCTCTCCCACCATCATTTCGAACATGACTGTTCCAAGATTCCACCAGTCCACACTGAAACCATAGCTTTCGCCTCTGATGATTTCTGGAGCCAGATAACTGAGTGTGCCACAGAAAGTGTTGGTCTTCTCGCCTGCCTTCAGTCCTGCCTTACATAGGTTGTAATCGGTAATTTTAATGTGTCCGTCCACATCTAGTAACAAATTCTCCAACTTCAGATCCCTGTGTAATATCTCATGTTCATGAAGAAACTTGATAGCTAAGGAGATCTCCCCGGAGTAGAATCTCACATGTGCTTTGGGAAAGATTCCGAACTGTTGCAGATGGTATGTTAGGTCTCCTCCACTGATGTAATCCAGGATAAAGAAAAATCTGGTTGGTGTCTCGATGCAGGAATGCAGGCCAACCAGGTAAGGGTGGTTCAAGCTCTTCTCCAATATTTGCTTCTCTACCTGGAGACGAATAAGGTTTTCATCGTCCTTTCTCACCACTTTCATGGCATAGAGGTGATCTGTTGTTTTATGCCGAGCTAGTAAAACTTTACCGTAGCTTCCTCTCCCGAGGACACGGAGAAAGTCAAAGTCTTTAAGAGCAGAAGAGCACAAAGGCCTGCCATTTTCCTCACCAGTATTTGTCTCATTCTCGTCATCTATTGCTTGCATACCCACATGACTTTTAGGATTTGGTGAGACTACTTCCTGTTTGGGATCTAAAGCCATGGAAACCTGGTTTATTGGCATTGTGCATTCATCATGCAAAGTATGGTGCTTGCATGGAACTCTGACGAGTGCATGGCACTTCTTATGAACTAAAATTTTACAGTGCATACATTTGTATGCCTTGCGTCCAAATCCCCCCGTGGGGTCTGAGCAGACAGCACAATTAGCATGCTTACTGAACCTTTTAGATCGAAATGTGTGGCCGTTAGCGCAGTGAACCTTTCTCAAGTGTCCTGAAGCTCTACAGCAGATGGATTTATCTTCTGGAGAAGGTGTCTTAGGCTGTTATTGTACCCAAAACACCTGAGGAGCCTCTGGAAATGATGGTGGGAGAGCCTCTGTATCCTTTTGCAGACAGTCCCAAGAACTCTGATCTAAACACATACGAGGCAGAGTTGTTTTTGGCACCCAAGGCACTTTAGGATCTTCTGGTATGCAAATCACCTTTCCATCTTGTGGTAAGCAAGGCACTTCAGTACATTCAGATACACAAGACACCTCAGTATACTTTGGTGCATGAGATGATGTATGAATTAGCAGCTCAGAATCTGTATTAAGCTCAGAAAGCATATATCGATCTTCTAATTGCAACAGAGGCAACGTATTGCATGGATCTCTCTTTTCATCTACACATCTTGTTGTGAGGTGTTTATTACCAAATGAGCAGATGTCTAGAAGATCATTGCCCTCAGAAGAAAACAAAATCTCAAGGCTTGTCATCTTCTTATCCCCACCTACAACTTGGGCCTGTTGGGAGGTGGTGTAGGCCATGGAGGTACTTGGGAAGAATGGGTCAGAGAAGGGTTGGTCATGCAGGAAAACTGGCATACAGGGCTTAATGGGTGAGGGAGACCTTACTGCCTTTATTGTCTGTTCAGTGTGGGGTTGGGCATCTCTCCCTGCCAAGTAATTCTCCATAATGGCTCAGCCCAGCTGGTCATATTGTAGGTTTCTTAGTGTTTGGTGGTTGCTGGACACTGTGACTTCAGTCTCTACTTCTGGACACCTTGGTCTATCTGACTTTACTGCTGCCAGCTCTGCTGAGACCTGCCCAGAGCTGCTGAGTATCTCGGGGCCTGTTGAAACTTGCCCATGAATCTTTTGGGTTTCAGTGTCATTTGTACCTGAGTCAACAGAGTTTTGGGGTGGGTACCTTGATGTTGGCTGTTCACAGTTGATTGGTCTTGGGGAGACTGTCTCTGGGCTGACTGTGAAAGTTGGGTGCCTTTCGCACCTTGGCCTGCGGCATCTGGATGGTGTGAGGCGTTTTCTCAATTTTTGACATAGACTTTGTCTGCCTGGGGTCCTGGGGTTGTGGCCTCTGGATGTGGAGAAACAATTCAGCATCCTCTCCGCTGAGTGTCTCCAGGCAAATGAGCTGGGGAGGTGGGCAGTACTGGATTGTGATGTCTTCTACAAGGGTTCCAAGTTCTGCTTGGTCATGTTGCCAGGAAGTTATGTCCAATAACTTGAGGTCCAATAACTGATAAGAAAGCCTATGGCTCAACTTTTTCATCATGCTAAGTAAATCAGTGGCTAGTTATTTTATTATTTTATCTAAGTATCTGTGAATCGATTTATCATCTATTAGTTTTTTACATTTGCATTTTTCTTATTTTTACTTTGCATCTGCACAGTGAACTACAGATATATCCTCAGATATTCTTTTTAGATACACACTAAGAGTCTTCCTAAGTCACAAAATTGGTCTATCTTGTGATCTCCTTAACTCAGATGCCCAGAGTGCTGGGATTATAGTCATACACCATCTGTCTCATTCAGCATGCTATATATATATATATATATATATATATATATATATATATATATATATATAGCAAATCTGGGCAAACTCCTGGCACTTTCAATCATTGGTGATATCTTCACTTTTAAAGCCATGTGTGTACACTGATAGCTTTCACAGTGCTGGGAGGTCTTTTCCATGTAAAAAAGGCCTTTTTTTCTGAAATCAAGTACTGGGGATTTGAGCCCAGAGAGCTATGAAATTTTAGGATGTTTTTCTTTCATATCATCATTTCTATTTCATTAGGTAGTACTGAGTCTTTCTAGAAAATTCCACATTAATTTTCCTTTAGAGAGAAAAATATTTGTTTCAGTGTATAACATCTGGGTGTGATGATAGTGGCTCCATAGGTTCTAGTTTTAAGGAACACACGTGATGAACTGTTGAATTTTAGCTAATGAATTTAATACAATGTGTAGTATTCAGTATTATCACATATTATATTTCCCCCAAAATAATATATAACTAGAATGACCTAACTAGGATCACTCCAGCTCATCATAACCATGGTGATGACCAGGATCTTGCAGAAGATTATACCTTGGTAGTTTCTTGCTCCATAGCTACTCTGTAATGACATGTAAACAAGGACAGTTTGTTGAGGTGGTCAGTTACTTTCTGATTTGTTTTTATTTTCTGGAAATCATAAGAGTGGGACAGGATAGCAAATGGTGATGACATGGCAGACAGTTTTGTAATCACCCAAGGGGTGATAATGAGCATGTACACAGAGCATTTCAAACTTTCTTTTTGGCCGCTTGGAATCACTTCCTGTCCTACCCCAATCAGACCACGTACTATCTACCCCAAGTGGATAGTCTGCATTTTTTAGATGTGAGGAAGCTATAGCCATTCAGGATGCATTGTTTTTGCTTTTTAGAGAGCTTATTCACTCAGTACAACTGCACTGATGGGGGAGAACAGACACAGAGCAGCCCTTCACGCTCCCAAAATGAGTAGACCATGCAGGAGGAATACCACCTCCCAACATGGAGTCGCTCTGTGTGGAGCAGTGGTGAATCGCCCCGAAAGGTTACACAAGGGCAGCGAGACTATGAGCTTGAATGTTATCGACACATCTGAGTTGAAAGCACAAGGCCCATGGAGTGTGAGATTTTAACAACAGTGTGTTAGTAAATGTTTAATAACCAACATATTTGTTTATGTATATATATATATGTATGTATTACATGTACACATATGTGTATTACAAATTGTGCTGTTGTAAAAGGCATGTAACACACAAGTTATAAAGAGTAAAAACACAGGGCTCTTTCCAATCAATTCACAGGATGCTTTTTATATTTTTGAATCCATAATTGACCTATGCCCCCACCTGACAAACTCCTATAGTTCCAACACAAGGGCTGGATGATACTTTTCTCTAGATTAAGTAGTAAGACAAAAGTTCAAATATCTGGACTTATGTCTGTATGTTACTTGTTCATCAATGATATGAGTGACTTTTTTGCTGAATGGAATAATGATGGTTTTGGGGTAGGAGAAGAACATTTTCATTTTGTGTGCAGCTGGCATAACAGGTGCAGACATGACACACTTTTAAATTAAGCACATTTTTAACATTAATCTTCCTCATTTTCTTAAGACTGCAGTCAGTCAGTGAAACTGCAAGTCAGGCCCTGATATGTGGCATTTCATTTCTAGGATATAAAACTTCTACCAGGCTTGGGAGTATAGCTCAGCAGTACAGCACTTGCCTCACATATGTGAGCCTCTGGGCTCCATCTCTAGCACTACAAAGACACAAACACAGAACCTCTTGTCATGGTCTTTCTAAACTACCAATGTGAGATGACCAAATGTGAAATAGGGAAGAGATGACCAGTATCACATTTTATAGCATTTATTCCTAGAAGAATAAAATAGCTAAGAACACAGATAATAATAAATAGACAAGCTGAGCATGTCAGTGCATGCCTGAAACATCAACATTCTGGGAGGCTCTGGCAGGAGAATTTTAAGTTCAACCCTAGCCTGCATAACTTAGTAACATACTATCTGAAAATTAAAAAGAAAAAATTAGGGATGTAGCTCATTATGAAGGGTGGTACTGGGGGAGGAGGTTGGATAAAAGCTTCTGCATGCTTCTGGTCACCAGCCATTTGAGTCACCACAGCCATTCAATCTTCACAAGCCCCTTACCATGTCCTAATCTAAATTTGACTGCATAATTTCTGAATGTGATAAAGTGAGTGGTTTATGGCACTTAGTTAGGGGTATTTTGTCCCTAGCAATGGAAAGGGCCTCATAGAAACAAGGGCTACATTGCGGCAGGTCCCAGCTGTCCAGAAAAGAGTGAATCCCTCAGAGATCATAGCTGGTGGATGCTTTTAACACTTTGACCTCATTTATGTTTAAAACGCTTTCATTTATTCAACAGCTAGATAATGTGCTCAGTGAGAGCTAGTGTGTGACAGGCACTGTTCAGTGCTGGATAAAATCTTTGTCTTTGAGTGTTTATCATATTGTGGAGACCACAGACAATATGCAAGACAAATCCACCTTGGTAGATCAGGCCTGAGGAGAAGATGAAAAGAGACTACCAAGAGGAAATGCAGTGTCAGAGGTGAGGCTGGACCTTCAGAAATGATGGCCAGGAAAGGCCTCCTGGAGGAGGTGACTTTAATAAAGTCCTGTTTTGGAAAGGCCCAGGCTGGCCACCACCAGGCCCCACCTGGCTGTCCCCTGCTCTGCTCATCTCCAGTCACCTAGAGAGGCCTCAGGGCAACCTTAGGGTCCAGGAGTTTGGGCATCTCCAAAACAGCGGGCAGCAGCCTGTTCAGTGAGAACCACCTTGCTAAAGGGTGATGTGACAATTGGGCACAAAAACAAAAGGAGGATCACACCTTTTGACCTAGTAATGCTTTTTTTCTCTTGGAAGGATTTGACACAACAAGAAAAAGAAACCATTTGAACAAAGATGTGATAATTCTAACTGTTACTTATAATAGTTAAATACAAACTGAAATTTTAATTTCTAAACAGTTAGAAATAGTTATAATAGTGCCCAACATTTAGCAATTATTATGTGACAAGCACTGAGCCAAAAACTTTATTGGATTCTCTCACTTCTCCCTCACAAAACCATATGAGTTAGCACTGTATTACCCCATTTCTTTATTAAAAAAATAAAAGCTTGTTCAAAGTTATACATGATTAAACATTTCTAGTGTCACATTAACTTTTATAGAATTAAATATAATGCAAGAAAGTATATCATGATGGTCTCTTGAAGTCTTTTTAAATTTTAAAAATTGTATAATTTATAAGTATCAAAATATTTGATAATAAGCTTGCATAAAATTAATTCAACATCATATATAGAAACAAAGAATTTATTTTTAGAATTTATACAAAATTTTGTATTCATAATGAGAATAATTATTAAATTTTCATTGTGTTATGTAATATAGATATCTAAGTCATTTTAACTGATATTAAATGCACTTAGTAAATTCAAGAAATGATGTTTATATCATACTTACTGTCTACTTTGTGTCTCACTCTAAATACTTGTTAGTCTGTGTGTTTTTGAAGAATAAAGATTTAACTTATCACTTTGAAAGCATATTCCAAATGAATACATAGGAATTCACTCTGACTGCAATGTGAGGAGAACAAGAACACAAAAATTATAATAGATTAAGGAAAATTCTGAAATGACATTAATAAAACAAGGGGTTACTAATTTTGTTTGAAGTTTAGCACATTAACATTAAAAATAAAAAAAATTTGCTAATCAGTGTTAGTAAAGAATACTTATAGATAATTTCATTTGTTAGATTGGTTCATGAGGGTAGTTTTAAACATTTGCTTGTTTCTTTTCTCAGAGTTTTTATACAACTTCTCTGGGATGAGTGTGATCATTGGACAATTAATACATTAACATTATCTCCTGCACTTAAAATTAAAGACAATCTAATCACTGTTAGTAAAGAATACTTGTAGACAATTTTATTTGTTAGACTACTTCATAAGCTAGTAGTTTTAATCTTCTGTTTGTTTCTTTTCTCAGAATTTTGATATAATGATTCTGGGATGAAATGTGGTTATTGAACAATTTCCATGTAGGCCTGAGAACTATTACTATAAA